TCTTTGAGTTGTTTTTCTCATTTTGTTCTTTTTTTCTTTCTCAGAGAAACAAAGACCTCACAGTGGGTGGGCTCTTCAGTCAGCTTCTGAGCTCCCCCCTCAGCTCTGCTACTTGCTGGATGCCTTTGAGGAAAGGACTGAAACTCTCTACGTGTTAGTTTCCATGTCTGTAAAGGGGACTGTTAATGTTGGGAGAAATAAATGAAAGGGAGAGCTCGTGAAAATGACTTGGCATCATGCCCGGCGCAGAGTGAGCCTTAATGATTCCCCTTCCTGCCCTCTTCTCCTGGGAAGCCTTTCTTTCTCAGCCCTGCTCCACAGCTCTGCCTGGCCCCCCTCAGCACAGTTACCTGCGATGGGCCCCCTTGGGTTGTAGCAGTGACAGTGACCTCTCTGGGCCCCCAGGAGCTGAGGTTCCAGCTGGAGAGCAGACCCAGTAGCACAGAGATGCAGAGATAAAGTGGGGCTTTGGGGACCCAAGAATTTAAGATGTTTGTTTTTTCATTGTTGGTGCCAACTCTGAGCCTCTTTACTCATAAGATGTCCTGACCATGAAAATAATCCTGTTTTTTGAATCTCACCCTTGGGTCGATTTTAATCCTTGAAATTTTTGCACTAACCATGTAACTCAGGATAGACAAGCTGTCTAGGCTGTGCCTTTGGAAAGCCAGAGATGAGGAGCCGCTGCCCGGGGCCCACCCTTGGGGCAGAATGCTCCCACCAGCCTAGTGGTCTGAGCTCCCAACCTCCCAGCAGGTGGCAAACCCTAGTGTTGAGTCAATGGTTTATAGTTCAAGCATTTTAATTTTGAAATCACTTTTTTTTCATATTTTCTCTTTTCCACTTGTCTCAAAGGGAAAAGTATCCTACCTCATTGCCAAGGTCAGTCTTTGTGTTCATACCCTGGATCAGCTGCCCATCTTGAACTCATCCTGTCCGCTCTTCTTCCGTCTTTGGACTTCACCTCCACTAGCACCTCCCATTTATGCTACAGACACATTCTACGATCCTCAAAATGGTCCCTCAGCTGCTACTTCTTTAAAGTATCTGCACATCTAAATTACCCACTCCCCCAACCCTTTCCAAGTCCCTTATATGTTTCCCTCCTAAATTGTCTCATTTGTATTTTGATTTTTACTATTTACTTATATTTTGTGTCCCCTACATACTATGTAAGTTCCCTGCAGACAGGAACCATATGTATCTTCCTCATTGTTCTATCTGTGAAAATAAAGACCAACCCAAATGGAAACAAACAAAAACTATTCAGAACTTGCAAGGGAGTCAGCCACCATCAATTGAATTTTGGCAGAGACTCAAAGGCAGGCAGAAGAATGTAAAAAAGAGAAGGCATCAGGTATGGTCCGATCAGAGGCTGTTTGCACAAGGAAGCTGTAGCTGGGCTAACTAGAAATGAGGTGTTGTATGAGAGTGGTTACAGACGCACACACATTTGCCTTTCTCCAGTTGGTCCTAAGTTGGAAACAGGGGCTAACAGTAGAGTAGCTGTCAGTTACTAATCAAGTCCTGGCCATTTTGGGCTGATTGCTTGAGGGGTTGTTTTCTTGGATGGGTTGTAATAGATAGTAGTTTCACTTCTTAGACTTGTTATTGCAGATAGTAGGTTGGGTTCTTGGGCCGCTTGTTACAGATTATGGGACAGAGTCCTATCTTTATACACAGTCTAGTCATTTTTCATTTTTACACCCAGTTTTTCGGTCCCCAGGACCATCCCAATGTTTAGCACAGAGTAAGAACTCCATAGTTATTTATAAGTTAATGTATGGATGGCAACTCAGAGTTTGACTTTGTCCCCCAGAGAAACAGTTGTGCTCTGGCTTCTGCTTCTCTGCCTCTTCAGCAGCTGCATATCTTCTGCCACCTCCAAACTGTGGGAAGTTAGACACTCTCCATTTCCCTCTCTACATTTTTCTTGGAAAACTGTTCTACTTCCACAACCCCAAATAACATTTCCAGGAAAGCGATTCCAAAGTTCTTGCCTCTAGCCCTGACCTCTCTCATGCACCCCAAGTCAGTTGTTTGGTGGAGAGCGCCATTCTGACATCCCACCAGCATCTCCAAGCCCATTACCAGCCCCTCTCTCTTCCACCAGATTTTTCTGTTTGGTTAATTTGGGGCCAAAGCACTACTAAAAGTGATTTCTGATTCTGTAAGAAGGTTAAGCTGAGGATGGATGGGAGCATCATAGAGGGAAGGGTTGAAAGCTTAAAGTGGGTACTTGGTTTTGTTGGCAGGAATCCTGCCTCTCTGGGATGCAAAGAAGAGACTGGACAGTCAAGTTGTTGCAAGGGCTGGAGCTGGGGAATGGTACCAATGGAAGCATCATTTTGGTGTATGGAGGGAGTAGGGGAAGGAGGAACGGGAGGGGTCCTCCCAGTTCCCTCGGCACTCCTTTTCAGGCCACAGAGGTAGTCTGGGATCAAGATCCTAGGGCATAAGTGTCAGGCTATAGCAGCTTCTGCCCCTACGTGAGGGTCTTACTGAAGAAAGTGACTCAGAAAGGGATCTTAAAGCAAGGGATGCATACAAAAGGGGGGGGCATTTTGTTTTCTTTTTCACCTGCCACCCAGCACTTCCTGGCATCCCCTAGCGAAGGACTTGAACAGGGTTTGATGCTCCCATAGTGGGAACATGACTGGGCTGCATCCAGTAGAAGGAATGTCTTTCGCCATCTCCCCTCCCAGCCAACCCCTGGTACAATGTGGGCTGGAGAACATACCTCTTCCAAATGGAAGCTTCAGAACTCAGGTATGCACAGTTGCTGTTTCCTCTGTGATAGTTCTCTCTTCCCCACATTTTATCTGTAGGAGGTCTTCAAATAATGTTGTTTCGTTCAACATTCTGTTATAATGTTGATGAGGAAAATCTTGATTCGCACCAGGACCCGTCTGCATGGGTTTGTTTCCTCCCACATCCCGAATGTGTGTGTCCGGTGAGTCAGCGGCCTGAACCGCCCCAGCCTGAGGGGTGTGAGTGCTCCTGCGATGGCAGGGTGTCCTGTCCAGGGTGGGCTCTGGTCTGTCCCCCTGACCTGTCAGGGAGACTCCCGCCACCCTTGCCCTGAAGTGGAGGAAGCAGGTCTGACAGATACCGGTCTGACTTATTATAAATCTTTCTTAAATATATGTATAGCTCACATTTGTTTCAGTGTTAAATATTAGAAGGGTTTGGGGTCCTTATTGAGAATTTTGCTGATGTTTTTGTGACCAGAAGTCTGCCTTAGGAACTTAACTCGTGTTTATATCGATTAGCCTAGGGTGAACTCCTTTTGGTTTAAATCCTTTTTCTGACAGTCAGTTTCTAAGAACCCATCAAAGACATTAAATGAGGACTTACTGTATTTTGTGGAACTGCCTATAAAATTATAGTCCAGATTTCTTGGGGCCCCATGTCCCCAGTAGTTCCTGAATCTGCCCCTTGCTGGTCCACTGTCTGTCTGGTGGCCGGACTCGGTTCCTCCTAGAGCACGCCTCACAGTTAGGTTTCTCTCCCCTGCCTTTCTGTGTCATTCCCCACCTGCAAATTCACGCTACCAGTTGTCCTCGGCCTCTGTCTTCTGCTTGGCTCTCTTTTAATCTGCTCTTTATATTAACAACGTCTTTTAAAATCTGCCGCTGTTGGTTATAGAAGGTAGAAGGAATACCTGGGACCCTACTGAAATGTTTGTTTCTAAGTGTTTCTCTATTAAACGACTGTGAAGGAAACCACCAGTGAGCAACAGATTTCAACAAATATTTAAAAGATGGAAAGCATACACAAGGCCACCAAAGGGAGCGGAGGTGGCCAGAGGAAGTGGAGGGAGGCGGGCGCAGTGGAGGGAGGCTTGGTGCTAGCCGGCGTGGAGGAGCGGCAGAGAAAGTCTACACACGCTTGCCCCCATGACCTCTGCCCACATCTAGGCTTCAGGCAACCCAGCTTCAACCCCTGGGGCACGGAGATCCTAGAAGAGGTCTTCTCTAAATAAATTACATTTTGGCTCGTGCTGCAACTTCACATGTGGTGAAATACGTGGTGTTGGCACCCCAGAGAGAATCACACTTACCCCAGCGTTTGCTGGGTCTGCACTCCAACATCTGCCAGCTCCACCCTGAGGGACTCTGTACACGCAGACAATGACCAGAGATATTGTACATAACAACGGAACTCTAACACATTATCTGCAGTAATCAGCTCCGACTTTCAGGAAGTTAGAGCACTGTCTCTAGCAACTAGCCCAAGAAGCCGAAGAATAACCCCTCCAACAATTAGCCCCAAACAGCCAGGACTTGATTAATAACCGACAGCTTCCCTGATTTTTAATCCCTGTTTCCAACTGAGGGCCAACAAGAGAAAGCCGAATATGCAAATATGCACTTTAACCAATCACACAGGATGCCCCACTTCTGGTCCGCCTGCCTACAGCTTCACTGAAACAAGCTTCCCCCCTGCTCTGCTGACCTTTGAGCCTCTGCCAAAACACAAGTAATGGTGGCTGACTCCCTTGTTAGGGAAGCTCTGAATAGTCAGCCTTTGCTTGTTCACATTTGGTTGGTCTTCATTTATTTCTACACTCTGAAGCAAAGTCTTCTAGTGAACAAGCCCTCCACATGCACCCATAACTCCCCATCGGCTTTGCTAGTCAGGGGAAAGGAGACCCGTGTATATGACCACGGAGGACCCCATAGCAGCTAAATAGAAAAATGGACCTGGCCCTCAGTCTCCAATATGGACATGGGGCCAAGGTCACCAGACACAGAGAAAACAAGCAGCACACAGGAGATCAAGATAAACAGAACAGATTGACCTTGGAGGAAACAAGTCATTCAGAGACTATAAACAAGATTAAAAAATAAAGTCTAATTAGATCTTCAGCAAGATTTGAGAACATAGTACATCCATAACACTGAAAACAGCAGGCTGTGAAGAATAACCAGGGAATACAAAATAAAAAGTCTCCTGGAAATTAAAACTAAATTGCCAAAATTAAAAACATTGGAAGATTAAGCTGAGAAACGCTAACAGAATAGAGGGGGGAGGAAAAACAGCCTGAATGTGTGGCAGAAAAGACACCACCTTTTGTCGACTTTTGCACAGCTAAATCCAGAGATGGTTAAAAGTGGGTGCCCCTCGGCAGGGGTCCCGAGACCAAGGGGCTGGCTGAGTGGGGCTCTGTCATTGTTAGAGAGCCTTGGACGTAAGTACTTTAGACATGTGCATGGACTACTCTGATTAAAAAGATAATTTATCTGCAAATCTGACAGTTTCATTCCACTACTTCAAGTTCATCACTCCTCTCAACTACACATGGGGAGAGAGCTCATTCTCTCTTTTCTGACCATGACCAGCCACAAGCCAGCCCCCTCCCGCTGCAGTCCCTGTGTTTGCCCCAGCTCCGCTCAGTGATTTAAAGGGCTGTGTGCTGTGAGCTGGGACCGTGGGGTCAGACTTACTTGGTTTCAAACCCCCACATGCTTCTGTCCCACTTTGAGAAACGGGGGGACGAGAGTACCTCTGAAGGCTTCTGTGAGGTTTGAACGAGAGTGACAGGGGCTTAGAGGAGCCCCAGGCGCAGTGTGAGTAACCAACAAACAGGGCCCCCATTAGGGGGGCTATTTTGAGAAACAGTCTTGTTTTTTGAGAACTAGTCTTGTTTTTTCCCAATTTTAACCCCTCTTTGACTATTTTCCACATTTATAACTAAGAATACTAAAAAAAAAAAACTGATTAAACTCTCAGCTTTATTACTAAGCACACACCCTCAGACATTTCATAATAGTCCTGAATTCTTAAGACATTTAACCTATGTTTTTGAAGCCACAGTTTATTGACTAGGAGCAATGAAAGGTCCTGCTTCCTATAGTTCATGTCTGGCGTTTTCTTTCTGTTCTCAATAAAGCGACCCTTCTTCAGTGGGGCTTAAGCCTCACTCCCTTCGAGGGGCCTCCCCGGACCCCCGCCCCTCCTTCTTGCAGACTTCTAGAGAACTGCCGCTGTCTGTCCCCTGCTCTGGACTCTGAGCACCTCACTCGGAAAGGAGGTCCTTTTGTTGGTTTTAGAACACGAGTTCTCTGTAGCTGGGTTTGCTCAGTGAGGAGCATGTTCAAGGGGAGCGTGGGAAGAATAGAGGTGGAATTCAAATGATGAGCAGGGCTTGCTGGTATCTGGCAAGAACGGGTTATTGTTAGAAAAGCCAACTAACTCAGGTCAGAAACATTAGAAGCCTCTCTTTATCAAAAAGGGAAAACAGGTTGAATGGAAGGGACCACTTCTGCTGGGAAGCTACTGGGCTTCAGGCTCCGGGAAGTTCTGAGTGTGCAGGCAGCTGCCAGTCCACTTACAAGAGGGATGTGAAGGCCTCCTCAGGGCACCTTCTGTAGTTTGGCTCTGACTGCTCCGTCTTGTTCTTCGGGACACGGCGCTGCCTAAGCAGCATGCACTGCATCCCAGCAAACAATGGCACTGACTGTTTCCATTTCCTTTTTGTAAGTTAAGATCCTCTGGTTCCAAAGCCTCACTCCTCTTAGCAGATGGGGAAGCCAAGACAGTCTTAGATGATTTAGAGGAGTTGCCAAAAGTGCTATAGGAAGTGGGAAAGCTGATTAGAACTCAGGTGTCCACAATTCTGGGCTGTGCTGAGGGAAAGCCAAAAGCAGCTGAGGCCACTGCTTCAATCTTGGTGTCCGAAATAGAGCCAATGATCTGGGCGGCCCCACCCTCCCTCTGGTTTTAGGTCTTTTGTACAGTGTATCTCTTGCTGAAAAAAAGAAAAGGGTGTGTGGAAAGTACTACCACCTGAGAAGTGTAAGGTTATAACGAGGGGGTCTGGTGTGCGCTAAAGAAGTTCATCATTATGAGGTAAGGAGCAACCAACTCCGGGACTTCAGTGCAGCAGGCAGACCACCCCCTCTTTGCGCAGCCTGACTCCTGCCCGCAGAGCTGGGACAGAGTAGGCCACACAGAGAGGACAGCTCAGCTGCTGGTGTAGTGGAGGCCCCATCCTGGGAGGGGAGCCCAGGGCTGTCACCAGCAGCTGGGCCGGGGAAAGGGTGGGCGTTTGTGGATGAGAAGAGCCTGGGGTGCCATGTCAGAGACCCATCACCAGCCTTAAAGGCAGGATTGGGCAAGCTGCCTTGTCACTCCCCACCCCTGGCTCCTTCCAGGCAGGGAAGGGCAGAGTGGAGCAGTGGAGGGGATCTAGAACTAAAGGTGCAAGGCTCAGCCCCCTCCCCCCCATCCCGCTCCTGCAGCCTCATGTCCCACTAGTCCCCCAGCCTGTGCTGCTCTGTTTCAGGGCGGGGCCAAGGAAAGAGGCGGTCAGGCCTGGCCCTTAGCTGCAGGAGTGCAGGGGTGTGGGCAGGAGAAGAGGAGCTTTCAGGAAAGCAATAACAGGAGCAGAGAGAAGGCCATGAGAGCACAGGAGAGTTCCCAGGATGGGGCAGGGCTAGCGAAGAGGTGGGCCACGGCCACATTGGGGTTGCCCTGAGAAGGCTCGAACCACTTCTGCAGACACCGCCCGCTGTTCCTATGCTCAGGGCTCGCCTTGAAGGAGTTGCTCCAAATCTTCTCACACAAGTCAGCCGGGGTGGGGAAGTAATGGGGGAAAGGACGGCAGGGGGCCCTTGGCGGACAGCGGCTCTTCCCTGTGGGGGATTAAGGCACAGAAAACTTACCTCTCACTCCTACCATCCTCACATCCCCTTCCTTGGCCTTGGTGGGGGGGGGCACAGAAGGCTGGCACCTGTTCCAAGGCGGGGACGCCCAGGCCCTGCTCCCCCCTGAGCTCTGTCAAGCACCACTCACCCCGACTCCACTCCCAGCCGCTGTGCCAGTTGGATCTGCAGGTGTAGGAAGTGTGGCAGTCTGCCCACCACTGCTCACAGTCCTCCCGGCATAGTGGTGCCCCCAAAACTCGCTCTCCCCGCCCCCTTGGGGCCACCTGGGTCCATGCACAGCCAGAGAGAAGAAACAAACAGTCAAAATATGAAGACCGTCAGTAGCCACAATGGTACTGTTGTGCCAGGTACTACTGGACATATTCTCTTATGACGTCTCTAAGGATTATTTTACCAATGAGAACAATGAGGCTAAGAGATTATAGTTTGTCCCAGGCTCCACAGCTTCTGTTCCTAATACAGAAGATGGGATTCAAATAGTCCCTCCTCCTACTGTTCTCATCTGACCGGTCTCCTGCCGGGGCCATTCTCCAGAGGCAGCTTCCTGTCCATCCCTTTCCCCAACAGCCGCCCCTGACTCTGCTCTTGTCCCCAGGGGGCAGCCGTTCCTGTTCCTACTCACATGCTGAGACTCAGGTGCTTGGTAACAGAGTGTGGCACGGTTGTGCCTCCTGTGTGCCCAGCCCGGTCTTCCTACCTGCTGGATCCAAGGCCCCAGGTTTGGGGAGCACTCATAGAAGCAGATGGCCTGGATAAAGTGCTTCTGACAGTCAGGCATCATCAAGCCACAGTGAACGAGGCTGAAGTTGTAGAGTAGGGACACGTCCAGGTGGGCTTCCCAGCTTGTGTTGGCTGTGCAGCAGGCGTTGTCCTTCCAGGGGATGCACTGAAGGTGGAGGAAGAAGCAAAAGGTATTGGGGGTGGGGGTAAGAGGGTTGGTGAATATCTAGGGTAGAAAGAAAAACATGTCTTCTAGAGGCAGACCCAGGCTAGTGCAATGCCTTTGGGCCAGCACCCCCTGTATAGAAGGAATGCTGACTCTTCGTCAGTATTCACACCCAAGGGCACCTGCACCCTGACCTCCCTGCCACAGGCTGCCATAGTCCCTTAGACACGTGACTTCTAGGCTCTCAGCTCCTGAGGAGCAGCAGAGGAACGCCATGAGACCCAGGGGAATGGGGGCTTGCACTGAGTGGGTGGGCACTGTAACACAGAAGGCTCAGTGAGTGCCAGGTAGATGCCAGCTCTGCTCCTCCTCCCACGTCCCCGTCAGCTGCCTTCAGAAGTATGAGAAGGAGTCACTTAAACCCTGTGTTTCCACAAGGCCTATTGGTTGGAAGGCTAGAGGAAGACGACTGTGTTTGTTTGAATCTATGCTGGACCAATGATGGCCCTCTGGGATCACTACCTGCCCTTGCTCCCCAAGTGGCAGGGCAGCTCAGAGACAGGGACTTGGAGTCACTCAGCAATTATGGTCTCAAAAGTTCATGCTGTCTCTCCCGGTGGCTTTTCCCAAATTCCAACGTGAGGAAACAAACAAGTCAGGGTTGATGAGGGTTCAGAAATCATCTCGGCATTTGTGACCCTTCCCTGACCTGCCAAAGCAGCCCACCTTCCACCCCGAACCTGGTCTTGCCTCTTTACCTCCTCATAGAGCTGGTCTTCTGGGCTGGGCTCTTGCTTGTGGTGCTTGGCCTTCATGCAGACGTTGAGCCGCTTGTCCCCAGCCCAGATGGGTGTGGCTATCCACAGCCCTAATGAGAGCTGCCACCACCAGTCCATGGCCGACTGCAGAGCGGAGACCCACCTGCTTCTGTGATAGGGGGACACACTTCTCTGTTCCCTCCACTGTCCCAAGGACTGAGTATGAGCCTCAAGACTCTCAAGTGGCCACGATGCGCTGGATGCTCCTGGGACCTCCGCCTGACGTAGCACCACAAAATGTCAGGGCAGGTGAGTAAACCTTAGAGGTCTGACACCCACCCCCAAGAGATGCAGAAATGGAAGCCCAGGGCGGGGAGAAACCAGTCCCGTGGTGCAGGAAGTGGCTGTGCACCCACCACAGTGAAATTGGAAACCTCTGGCCTAGCCTGAGTGTACAACCTCACATATCTGTGGTGGAGACTCCAGCCCCACCTTCTGGGCCCAAATCTAAGGCTGCTCTCTCTGTTAAGCACAAGTTTCAAGCAGAGTATTTTTAAAGAACCAGGTATGCCAGGTAGAAAGAAGAAAGTTGCTATCCCTTCTATTGTTTTTTTCATACTTACTTTCAAAGCAGGACCCACTCCCTCCCACCTCCAGATTTTGTGAAGCTGAGGAGACTTCTACGCCCATTTATTACCCACGCCAGCTCCTGCTGGGTCCAGGTGCACGCTCGGATCCACAGGTGTCTCCAATTAAACAGCATCCACCACAGCCCAGTGCAGGGCCCTCCTGTGGCTGGAGCCCAGAGTTTTGGAAAAACAGTTTTTCTTTCTCAGAGAAACAAAGACCTCACAGTGGGTGGGCTCTTCAGTCAGCTGCTGAGCTCCACCCTCAGCTCTGCTACTTGCTGGATGCCTTTGAGGAAAGGACTGAAACTCTCTACGTGTTAGTTTCCATGTCTGTAAAGGGGGCTGTTATGATGGAAATGTTGGAAGAAAGAAATGAAAGGGAAAGTTCATGAAAATGACTTGGCATCATGCCCGGCGCAGAGTGAGCCTTAATGATTCCCCTTCCTGCCCTCTTCTCCTGGGAAGCCTTTCTTTCTCAGCCCTGCTCCACAGCTCTACCTGGCCCCCCTCAGCACAGTTACCTGCGATGGGCCCCCCTGGGTTGTAGCAGTGACTGTGACCTCTCTGGGCCCCCAGGAGCTGAGGTTCCAGCTGGAGAGCAGACCCAGTAGCACAGAGATGCAGAGATAAAGTGGGGCTTTGGGGACCCAAGAATTTAAATGTGTGAACAAAGCCAAAACAAACAAAATGAAAAAGTCCCTCCACAGTCCATGTGATGGCTTCCCTTAGTTAGTATGCAGGGGCCACTGTCCTGTCAAATAATTTTTTATTCAATGTTTTTTTGTTATAATGTTGATGAGATGCCTCAGGAACTTAACTCCAGTTTATATCAATTCGCTTGTGGTAAAATTGGCTTCATTAGATGTCGGTTTGCTTAAGTGTCAGTTTCCAAGGGCCTATCCATGATGTTGTTGTATATAGTGTGGCTTACTCCTATGACCACCCCTCACCCCCGCCCTTTTAAACTGTGGGAGAAGCTCAGCTCAGCTGAGCAGTGGCAGAGCTACAATCCGAGCTGGGGCGAACGCGACTCGGTCTGCTGCACAAGACCCAGGTGAGGGGGAGCTTCAGGACGGAAACGGCGGGTGCTGTCTGGGTCTCAAGTGATGTCTTTTATTTTTTGTACTTTTTAAATCAAATGCCATAATCAGGTTGTATGTTGGGAAGCATGTGTTGGAAAGCTTTCTTTGGGAACAGTGATGGTTACCAGCCCAGGCTCCTGTGTCCTTGCCTTATGCGGAGCCAGGGGTCCCCATTGCAGGGTCCGAGACCAGGAGGTAATGGCTTTCCTCCAGCATGACTCTCTTCCCACGAACATTCGCGTGGCAGTGGAAGAACAGGGGTGCAGGCTCTGTTCAGTCACACGTACCCCCTTGGGGGCATAGTTGACTCTTGGACAACGTAGGGTAGTTATAGGAGATGACGCAATACCCCCAGTTGAAAACCCACATAACTTTGACTCCCTCCAAATGTAACTACATTCAGCCCTTCACATCCTCAGATTTAACCAACCACAAATGGAAAACAATTTCTCCATGTGTGTTTGGGAATCTTCAGTTGGGAAGGTGAAAATACACTTTCTGATCCATGGCTGGTTGAATCCATGGATACAAAACCCAGGATAGGCAGGGCTGACTGCATTTATTGAATATAATCCGAGTATAAGTGGTCCCGGGCAATCCAAACCTGTGTTAAGGGTCAACTGTACTTGGGAAGCTGTAAGGCTTGATGAGGTAAGAGAGTTGGAGTTTAACATTAAGTTTCAGTTGGCTGTGGACATGGCAGGGACAAGACTCCAGAAAGACACGTGGGGGTGATTACTGAAATGGAAAACAGATCCTCTGGTAAAGGGCCTGCACATGCAGTAGGGGAGTGGGGAGGGATTTGCTAATGCTCTCTAGGACAAGCCTGCAGGAAATAAACTAAAATTACAGCCCTGCGCTGGTGCTGGGGAGGAAGAGAATGGGGAGACTGCCTCTCAGATGTCATCAGGCTGACATCTCCCCAGGCAGGCCGTGTGCCGCCCTTGAGGGAAACTCATTTATGCCTTATTGTGACTGAGTCTTGCAGAGAAATCTGTTTTCTGACTGCAAGTGGATAGATCAAGGCTGCCTGCAGTGGATGAAGCTGCTGACCCCAAACAATTTTCTTCTACAAAACAAAACAGAGCCCTTAAATTGTCAAGAGCAGAGCTACAGGAGCATCCGGAGGGTTCTGGGGAGGGGAGGCGGGCAGAGCGGTGGGAGCAGCAGCCAGCCTCCCTGCTCTGGGGCCACAGAGCATGACTCTCCCACTCTCCCCCTACACAGGAGGTTGCCCACGGAGCTGAAGCCCGCTATTTGAGATCACACCGAAAAAAGTAAAGAATAATTGCTAGGAATCTCCCTGTAGGAATCTGGAGTCAGGGGCCAGCTGGAGCAGACATGGCGATTCAGAGCTCTTAGTGGGTCACATGACCCTTCTCACCCCCAGTCTATGGAGCATCCATGTCTCATGTCGTAACTGGTTTGTACTGAGAGTGGTAAAACGAGTATGATTTATCCCCACCTGCTCCTTCGCTCCATATCTATGCCATCGCCAAAGTGATTAATTTAACTTACTAAATACCATTTGAGTTCATCTTCTTTTTAAAAAAATTTTTTAAAGATTTTATTCATTTTTAGAGAGAGAAAAAGGGAAAGAGAAAGAGAGGGAGAGGATCATCAATGTGTGGTTGCCTCTTGTGTGCCCTGTACCAGGGACCTGGCCTGCAACCCAGGCATATGCCCTGACTGGGAATCGAACTGGTTCACAGCCTGAGTTCACAGCCCAAGCTCAATCCACTGAGCTACACCAGCCAGGGTGCACTTTGACCTTTTTAAAAGGCGAAGATGGTTATCTTAAAAGGCTAACATGGTTAAGACCCTTCTAGGCTTAAGATGAATCCCAAAACCTTAACATGGCACACAGACCCTGTTTAATCTGGTCCCTGTGTATTTTTCTGTCCCGGCCTGCTGTCCTTTGTCTAATCTACACTGGCAGCACTCATTACCCTGACGTCTGACACTGCCCTGCTCTCTTACTTGGCTCATAGCTCACTCACCCGTGGTGGTTGGGGACTCCCAGTTATCCCTCAGCTCAAAGAATGAATGGCTCCTCAGGGAAGTTTTTTTTGTTCCCCAAATATTGGTGAGCTGTTCTCTTGGGATCTTGCACTTACCACCTGTCATTATAAATGGCTGCCGACAGGCTCACAGCTGCCTTAGAAATGTACCCATAATTCTATCCTTCTTGGTGAAAGAAAGAGGGTCTGAAACTCCAGCTAACCTGAGGTATTGTTAATACTTTTAGTGTTCTGGGATCGCTCTTCCTTCAGACCTTTGTACATTATTTCCCTTTCAACTGGGACCTGTCCCCTATTCTTAGCACTCTTAGGGCCTTCCCTTAGCTGACACCCTATTTGTTAGGTCTCAGTGTGGAGTGGTCCACATTCAGTGAGGCTCGGGTCTAGGTTAGGTGACCCTCCTGGTGCTCTCACAGTCCACACTGTTCTGGAACTGCCTGCTGAACTAAAGTTCCTGGTCCAGCGGAGACCAGTCTGTCAGTTTCACTGCAGTACCTGCTACATGGTAGACAGACTCTCCGTGGGTATTCAGGTGAACTAGTGAGTGTTTGTTTTTGTTTGGTGAAAAATATTCTGTTCTGTGATTCATTTTTACTAAGAATCATACCAGGTAAAATTCTGGGAAACCTGAGTTTTTGTGAGTGGTCACACTTACAAGTATTATGTGTGTATGATACACAGGCTTGTGGATTTGCACCTTTTTAAAGAAATTGTTTTTCTGTCCTTCATTTGCCTCTCATTTATTACTAGATGACCTATGCCTGGAGGGTCCTGTTTGCTATTCTTACTGACTCCCCACAGCTCTGTTAACCATGAGTTTGGCAGTTGTGCTTGGTGAATTGTTTCTTAGGCATGCACACAATTTCAAGTTCAAAGAATGGAACTGGGTCAGTTTATATTTCATACACTAGAGAAATACACATCTTCCTAGATTTGTCTTAGTCTTTATGTCTTGTCTTACATTGAAAATGTCTGAAAAAATGCACAGAAGGATTGGAAGTTTGTAACATTTTGTAGTTTACAGAAAATGGTAGGAAACAGTGTTAAGGTAGCCAATATTTGACTCCTTATGCCCTTGTGCCTACAAATGAAAAATGGGGGCTGGGAATGAGTGTTCCAAGAGTCTTTGGGGAAAATCCTCCTCTGGTAATGCAATGATTACGCAGTTGCCATTCCTAGAAAAGTGAATTTTGTGATTCAAAGACCTCTGTTATAAACCAGTATGATATAACATTATGCCAAGCTCTTGAATGTTTTATGTTTACTTAATTCTCTAGAAAATGTTAATGGCTGTGAAGGTACAACAACTCCATTTTATAAAACTAGAGTTTAACTGGATGAGTATCTCTAGTATCATCACAGAAGTTGATTCTATTTTCTTTAATCCAAGTCTGTGGAGCAAGGGTATCCAAACTTTTGGTGTCTTTAGGCCACCCTGGAAGAAGAAGAGTTATCTTGGGCCACACATTAAATACACAAACACTAACAAAAACTGAATAGCAAAAAAAAAGGTTTTAAGTAAATTTATGAATTTTTGTGTTGGGCTGCATTCGTGTCCATCCTGGGCCTCATGCAGCCTGCAGGCCATGGGTCGGACACCCCTGAGAGTGTGGAGTGCCTGGATGCCATGGGTACTGGGTCTTAAAAAAATATCTTATGGTATTGTTCTTAAAGGACTGCACTCATCTGCAGAAATGTGGACATACTCTATCTTCTCTAAATTCCCTGGTGTGGTCATTTCCTTGAATCTGGAAGTTTCCTCGGACTGTATCTATTGTAGAAGGAATAGTACCTTTGGGTGGAGAAAAGAGACGCAGCCGTGCCTGTGGATATTCTGAAAGTACCTTTCTCGTTCTAGGAGGAAGGGGAAACCAACTAAGCTTCCTCAAGCATTACTCTCTTCCAGGCTCCTTGCCAAACTACTGATAGTCTGCATCTCACTGTCTTGTCTACTAGTCAAGGGCAAAGGTTATATCTAGTTCAATACTGTACCCTACATCGTTTATATTGATTGATACAAATAATTGCTGAATCAATGAGCACAT